ATATACATATTATAAATATAATATAAAATCATCATACACACACATGCACGCACACGCATGCATGCACGCACACACGCACACACACACGCACTCACCTGTAAAGCTATTTAACTTAATTATGCTTATTCCCACAAACTCAAAAAGAGAGACCTGAAATGAGAGTTACTTTTCGTTCTATACAAAACAATAAAAATACTATAATGGTGATAAGTGTTAATATCATATTATCATAGGCTATTAAATAGATCTAGATGTTTTCTCCTCCAAGCATCAAGTCATGCTATGCTTTCTGTTTTTTATTTAAAAATGCTGAAACATAACCTGAATTACTCAAAATCAACCAAAAGAACACCCAACACTGTTCTATTCTTTTGGTCGATATCAATAATTGTGTGAGCGCATTTTGTTGCGCTTTTCAATCATGGTCATAGAATTGTTGCCTGGTTGTTTTGCTTACTGAAATTTTATTTTCTCATTTCGACCTTTCCTGTGGTAAAGTATTTTTAGTGTTGAATAAAAAAAAGTTTATGTGTGATATAGGTAGGCTATAGATACTATGTATAGTTATCTAATTGTTTGTCCAAAAGCAATAAGCTCTTCCCCAAATAATTTGTAACTTTAAAAAAAAAACCCTGATCGGTACAGTGTTCGCCTCTCATTCAATAAGTCTCAAATTCGAAACCCGACAGTGACGGAACATTTTCTTCTGTAACATTAATATTTTCTCCTTTCGATCTCGGATCGTGCTCTCTAATCATGTGTTCTGTCATCTGCTTTCATCTCTACATTCTGCCCCCCCCTCATCTCCCTGTTCCCCCTCCCCTGGGCTCCTGACCCTTTGTACCGCTATTCCTGGCTCTTTCTTACTGTCTTTCAGTCACACCCCTAATCTTAGGGAAGGAAGGTCTAGCGCCTAGGCGCTTTTCCCTTTCGTCAACCCGCAGCCACATCCCGAATCGTTAGCCACATCCCAACCTTTGACAGGGGTGAAACTTCAATCTATTTATAGGTAGTTACCGGAACATGTATATTCCGAAGTGATGTGCCGTGATAGTCGCAATATTGAGATTGTTTTGGTCTCTCTTTACTCATCACCACGCGAATTCGTAGTTGTTATTCCTTGGACTCTGCCTTTACTAACATCTCGAATCTAGATTTAGTTGTAATCTAGTTGCAGGTTGCAGATTTCTGGAATCCAGTACATTCAAGAGATTAAATGAATTGCACTAGACTCTAGTAGTAAGACTCTTCTACTTCGCTACTTCTAGATTGAATAAACCTTCAATGCCTTCAAGATTACAAAGGCTAAGCCTAGCTAGCTTGTAAGGCTTCATTGTTAAAAGTGTTGCTTAACACAAAGCATAAGAAGTTAGCAAACTTAACACATTTTCTATCGAAATGAAGCTTAAATTGACTTTAAAATTGTCAGTAAGAGATCATGTTTAGTCATCTAATCATCTAAGTACCTAATTAAGGAATAAAATGAACAAGGCTCAAGATTGTTCTGGAAACTATACTAGATCTAGATCTAGATCTAGATTTAGCGGCACCTAGATCTAATACTCATCTCTCTTAGCAAAAAGTGGATCTAGATCTAGACTAGGCCTAGGTCACATTCATACAGAGGCCTAGATCCTAGATACTAGATGTAAACTGGGCCTAGAATTTAGATATCTAGATCTAGATAGATCGAGAAAAATGTACTATGTTTTTGTCTGAGAATGAACATATTATTATTCCTCTTGTGTGCTTTGATATAATGCAAAGTCTAAGAGGGATGAGTATTAGATCTATAGGTGCCCCTAAATATAGATCTAGCTGTAGTATAGAGCCACTAGTACTAGGATAATCTTGAACCTGTGTTCGTTTTATTCCTTACTTAGATGAACAGATGAATAAACATGATCTCTTATTGACAATATAAAAGTCAATTTAAGCTTCATTTCGTTAGAAAATTTGTTAAGTTTGCTAACTTCTTATACTTTGTGTTAAGCAACACCTTTAACAATGAAGCCTTACAAGCTAGCTAGGCTTAGCCTTTGTAATCTTGAAGGCATTGAAGGTTTATTCAATCTAGAAGTAGCGAAGTAGAAGAGTCTTACTACTAGAGTCTAGTGCAATTCATTAATCTCTTGAATGTACTGGATTCCAGAAATCTGCAACCTGCAACTAGATTACAACTAGGTCTAGTAGAGATTCGAGTAAAGGCAGAGTCCAGGGAAAAACATTTACAAATTCGCGTGGTGATGAGTAAAGAGAGACCAAAACAATATCAATTATTGCGACTATCACGGCACACCACCTCGTCTCTATACATGTTCCGGTAACGACCTATAAATAGATTGAAGTTTGATCCAAAGGTTTGACCCCTGTCAAAGGTTGGAATGTGGCTGGCGATTCGGGATGTGGCTGCGGGTTGACGAAAGGAAAAAGCGCAGCGCCTAGCATTCTCGGATAAGCGTGGGGGGGGGGATCTCAGAGGTCTCGTGTGCAAGTTGCGCATGCTAAAGATCCATTGGTGGTCCTCCAATCTATGAAAATAGGCTTCAGCCACCACCCGAGCAATATTCAAGTTAATTCATAGCAATCTAAAAATGAATGTGTCGCACGCGCTCATGTAACCTTTTTGCTGTTGCTGGCGTCGAAAAAACACTACTACCAAAAGGAACAAAAACAAAAACAAGAAACTAACTGCAAAAACAAAACAAGAATAGGGGTGAATAAACAAGCGAAAGAAACTTACTCTTGATCCAACACTTCTGGCTTGCATCATCTACTTGTTGTTAATGATGTTGCTGTTGTTGTTATTGTCGCCGTTGTTACTGCTGCTACTGCTGCTGCAGCTGCTGTTGATGATTTTGTTGCTACTATTGCTTTGCTGCTGCTGTTGCAGCAGCTGATCTTGCTGTTTTCTGACTTTTGTTCTTTATATCACTATCGTATCAAAGCAATAGATAAAAATGAATATCAGCATCACCAAAGATATCAAAACTGCGAACTCCAGAATTGTTGAATGAGGAAAACACAGGCCGTCTTTTAATTACGAACACAAGCACAACTCAACTTCCAGTGGCTTAACTTGCAGGCGTATGTCCACAGTTTAACTTTGACCATGAACTGTTGAAACTACAAATTCATGGAAGACACCGCTGAGTCCTGTCCAAAAAAACAAAAAAACCGAACACTTTTCAGGGGCTTGCAGTCAGTCAGTTTTTCGTCAACCATGGTGAAAATTAAAAATATTACATTTACTGCAGAAACAAGTGGTTTGTTTTCAAGCGCACCGTCGCTCGCGCGCGCGCGTGTGTGTGTGTGTGTGTGTGTGTGGAGGGGGTGTGGGTGTGCGTGTGCGTTTGTTTGTTTGTTTGTTTGTGTATCTGTGTGTATATAT